ACTGATAGACAGAAATTTATATTAACTAAGTGGGCTGATTCCCCTTTAATAGTGAGCAAAAGACTCTGAGAAAAAAATAATTCTCACAGCTGCTAAGAGATTTTGCAAACTATTTCGGGGTCCAGCCCAAACGTTCAGCCAGATGAATTAACAGAAATGCAAAATAAATCAAAGTAGCTTTCACTTCACACAGACCAGTAATGAGCAGCCAAAATAGACAAACACTCGTATTCACACTCTCTCAGTAGACTAGCCCAGACTGGAGCTGAGCAGATAAACAGAACAATGCCCAACTCCCCAGACGGGCGTGGGGGCACTCCTGGCACCCATGTCCCAGAACAGAATTCTCGACCAACGCCTTGGTAAGAACCTACCGGAGGAGTTAAGACTGCATCCAGTCCCCCCTCTCGGTAGCAAATTGGCTAATCCCACACAAACAAACAGCTGTTCACTAATGCTTCCTCAATGTTTCAGCATTAATTCCAATTCCATAATCTCTACTGTATCCCTTTAAAATTCTCTAACATGTAATTAAGAACAGTAGGTTTACTTTGTCCCAACCTCATGATGATCGGTGACGAGAGACAGACAAGGGAGGGGGTGACCTGTTTTCACAGATCCTCACTCAGATGCCCACCTGACCGAAGTCGTGGAGCCACACAAAGGAGAGGAGAGGGCAGGCCCCCTCCTATCCACACTCACATACTTTCACCAGACATTCATTCAGCAAAGGCATTTAGCTACCACAACACACAGTTTTCCCCAATTCAATCAGAACCTTAAACTTTTAGCTGGCAAGTCAAATATTCAGCATTTCTCAATCAGTAACATTTTTAAGAATAAACTTCAAAAATGCAAGACATAAGTTTTTTATCATTTGAATTCAGTAAGCTTCAAGGTCCCAAGTTCCCAGCGGTTTTGGAAAACCACACCTGAGGCTGGCAAGCAGGTTTGGCCCAGCCCTTGACTTTAAAACGACCATAATGCTTAAAGGAGTAGTTTGAGTCTGTCCCATAATGTCCGTCCAGTAAGTCCACAGAAAACAGGAAAAAAAAAAAAAAAAAACACAAACACAGACAAATACAGTCTTCCAACTCTATGGAAGCAAAACCAAAACAGCCTTCTGACTCTGCGGAAGCAAAACTACAGATTAGACGATGGCCATGTGCCACTCATCTCAGATTCTCGAGGGGAACCCACTCCCCCTGTGAGGGGTTTCCGCGCCTCTCCAGATGGAGGATCGGAGAGTCCTCCGACTCCTCCAGCCCATGGTCCCCCAGTGCGTCCACCTAGACCGTTTCGGGAACTACAGATTTCAGAAGTGAGCTCACACAGAACAGAACATACAACACACAGAACAGAAAGGACAACACACAGACACTTACCGCGGTCAGTCAGACTCTCCGGATCAGGGTCCCTTGTGAGTCTTGGGGGTCCCGCACGAGCCCCCAAATGTTATGCCCAGATTTCAAGATCCCCCAAAGGACATCACCAGGGAGCGCCAAGTCCGATGCAAAAGCATAGAATCTTTATTCAAACCCGGGGCTTGGTCCCTCTGCCTCCCCTACCAATGCAGCAATAGGGTGCGAGAGAGCCCGGAGTTCCAAGAGAACAAGAATTTATAGGGCTTGGGGTCGGATTGGGGGGGGCACACTCTGACCACTGATTTGGCCGATTCTGGTTGGTTGAGTGAGGGCCGCGGGTTAGTGACGCAAGGGCAGGGTGCAGCTAGGGTCTGGTTACACAAAGACGGGAGGGGGGGCGGGGGGGCGGGGCTAGTATGCTTTTGGCCTTGGGCTAGTTTCCCCCACTTTCCCATTGGCCGAGATAAGGGCAGGCTGAGTTACTGATAAATTCTGTGGCTTTTTCTTGGAAGAGGGGTTAGGGACACAGCTATCAGTCCTGTTCTGTCCTTTCAGGATCTGGGTTGGAGAGTGGACTTGTGTTGTGGGTCCAACTGTGATTTCACATATGTGTCTTGGTTTCTCTCCACAGCTCTCTAGGACACCTGTGAGGGCCCAGAGTGCTAGTGACAAAATTAAAAAAAAAAAATACTTTTATTGATTTCAGAGAGGAAGGGTGAGAGTTAGAGAGATAGAAACATTAATGATGAGAGAGAATCATTGATTGGCTACCTCCTGCACATACCCTACTCGGGGGGATCAAGCCCACAACCCGGGCATGTGCCCTTGGCCAGAATTGAACCTGGGACCCTTTAGTCCACAGGCCAACACTCTATCCACTGAGCCAAATCAGCTAGGGCAAGTGAGTGACCAACTCTTATGTGTAATCCCCGGTGGGCCAAAGTTTAATTACAGTTGTATTCCTATGAGGCCTCTGCTGGTCTTAGAGATTGACCCCAGGCACCCCCACTTGGCCCTTACATAAGGACATTCAAAAGGGAGGACTTGCTGCATTTGTTTTTCAGTGCTGGATCCAAGCACTCATTTAATCAATGGCCAGGCTTTGTCTTGCAACTGGTGGGAAGCCTAATACTCTAACCTGACCTATCACCAGTTTAACCTCCCATGGGAGACTTTTTATGTGGCTCTTAATTTGACTGACCCATGCCCTCTTTAATTTGGCCCTAGAGGTGGAGCGTGAGTATGGGAGGGAGAATAAAGGAGAAAGGAGAAATACCGGCATAAGATGGCAGCCAGGTTTAAGTGGCTGGCAGATGCCTAATAATATCTGCAAAATTATAAAGGGATAGCAGAGGAAGGGATAGAATCCGTGGGTCCTTCATATGCTCACTGTTTGATATAAAGAGGTCAGCTTCTAAGTTCCCAGCCAATGCACCAACTAATTCCGGGTTTTTATTGAGCAGGGTTACAGGGGTGATTTCTTTCCTGGGTTCTTGTCCAGATGAATTCGAAGAATGAAGCCATGGACAAAAGGTGGTAGCGAGAAGTACAGAAACTTTATTGCAAGCAGAAGAAATTTTATTGCAAACAGATGCTATTTTTAAAACCCTAATTCTAATTCTAAGACTGTCTCTCCTGGCATGGAGAGACAGGGTGTGGTGGGGGGTCCCTTAAAGAGGGTGGCCACTGCTTTATTTGTCTTAAGGCATTTATAAAAGCTGTAGCTTTTTGTGTTTTTTTTTTATGACCCTTTTTTTTTTTTTTAAAATATATTTTATTGAGTTTTTACAGAGAGGAAAGGAGAGAGATAGAGAGCCAGAAACATCGATGAGAGAGAAACATCGACCAGCTGCCTCCTGCACACTCCCCACTGGGGATGTGCCCACAACCCAGGTACATGCCCTCGACCGGAATCGAACCTGGGACCTTCCAGTCCGCAGGCCGACGCTCTATCCACTGAGCCAAACCGGTTTCGGCTTTTATGACCCTTTTTAATTGGACCCTTTCCCAACTTAGGACCTCCGTGCTTTCCTCATTGGTCACTCTGCTAAAGTCAAAGCCCACATGGTTCTCCCCTCTTTCTTTTTCTTTATTTTGTAACATTCCTCTATTCTCTGTGAAAATGTTTCATTTTCCCCAATATCCTGTGACTTTTTTTTGTCCTTCACATATCCAACTTATTTGTTTAAGTTGGAGTTATTATTTATTTATCTTATTGTACCTAGCAACCTTATCCTGCCAAGCCTTGAGACTGAAACTGCTGTCTGCTGTCTTCTCTGCTCAAAAAAGTAAAATAGCCTTTTTTTTTTTTCCCCCCCAGAGATGTTTTATTACCCCTATAACTGTCCTAGCTGCTCAGGCCAGAAATACCTCTGTCCTTGGCTTACGGTTGTTTTAATTCTTCAGGTCATGATGCTTCTATCCTCTCTAGACCTTATCCCTTCCAGTATTAAACTAATTACTTAACCCTTTTCACAGTTAGGGACCTGGAGCATGAATTACCAAGTGGGATAGAGAAGGGAGGGATTAGGGGCAACTGCATTTATGAAATTGCTGATATTGGATCATTTTTTGACCTCCAAAACAGTCATTTCATCTGGTTCACACTAAAACATAAGAAGTTGCTTCAGTAGGGACCTTGTGCAACTATACTTAAAACAAGGGTATTACAAGCTTAGGTATCTTACACAAAGGTAACAATAAACAATTAAATTAGAAAAAGCTCCTCTTTAAATCTAGCAACATTGTGCCCTGTCCAGTGTGGTTCTGTGGTTGGAGCAATGTTCCAATGCCAGAAGGTGGTGGGTTCGATTCCTGGTCAGAACATATACCCAGGTTTCATATTCAATCCATAGTCGGGGCACATGCAGGAGGCAGCTGATCGATTTCTCTCTCTCACATTGATGTTTCTCTCTATCTCCCTTCCTCACTCTTTAATATCAATAAAACATATCTTTAAGAAAAACTAGCAACATTGCAATTCCATAACATGGTGAGGTGCTGGAGTCTCCTGTGAAATTACATACAGCCAGGCAGTATACTGCAGAGAAGTTTATAGATGATTTACAATCCCCTTGCTATTGTGAGAGAACAATGGTGCAGCAAAGCTCAGGACCTCTGAGACTGGGAAGACTGTCTGAGTAGTTTTTCAGAGTAGGCCTTGAAGTTCCACCATTCTGTTACAGGACATGGGCTGGCCCACAGCAGGTCTGCCTCAGGCCAGCCTATAGTGCGTGGGTTCTTAACTTTATGTAGGAAAGATTTCTTAATACAAGTCCAGGTGGGTTTGAGTATGTTTATCAGCCCTGGGGACAGAGAAACAAAGGAAGAAATTAGGGTAGAAGAAATAACAGGGGGAGCCCAAGTGGTGCTCTGCTTTGGCTTTCTAGGAAAGAAGTGAGCCAAGGCTGGGCTGCTTTAAGTCACTGGGAAGTGAGAGAAAAGGGGGCCTTAGAAACAGGATCAGGGTGTGATCTCAGGTCAAGCTGCACTGCCCAATGCTATCCTGGCTGCAAGTCTCCTGGACATCCTTAGAATTTAGGAAGAAATAAAAAGTTCACGCCTAGGATGGGGCATGGGCCTTCTTTAGAGTGAGCATTGAATCTTTGAACTGAGGTGGTTTTTCTTCTTCTTCTTTCTCTCTCTCTCTCTCTCTCTCTCTCTCTCTCTCTCTCTCTCTCTCTCTCTCTCTCTCATTTTCTTGCAGATGAGACTCTTAGGGGAGGGTTTTGGTAGAATATTCTTCAGCTTGCCAGGTGCATTTTTAATATGCTGAGACCTCAAATGAGTGTATTGGGAGTTTTTTAAATTATTCTTTGGTCTGTTTTATCTTAGGTTTGTCTGGCTTTAACGGGATTTTTATTACTTGTTTCCCACTGTCCTCTGTCCTTGGGTTTAGCTGGCACAAATGTCCTTAATTGGGTCTTTGTTCTCTAGATTCCCAGGCCAGGGTGATTTAAGCTATGTATTTTCTGATTATGGAGGAGGGTATAAACCATTTGCTCTCAAGTGTCCTTGGTTGGAGAAGATAAGGTCATGTGATTCACAAGCTGGCTATAAGTTGCCCAAACTGTTTGGCCTTGTTTAATTTTGTCTGTTTCCTTGTTCTACTTCGCCGGGGATTTTCCTAGCTTCTTACTATCCTGCTACAATTTTATGGGTCTGCACAGCAGGCTGAAAGGAAGACTAGCAGCTAGGATCTTAGAAATAGAATTGGTGAAGACTTGGTACTTCCCAGGTAAGCCCAGATGATTCTCTGAAGAAACAAAGGGCTGATATATAAGGAAGGATCCATTGGAGTGCAGAGGGTGAGATGCTAATGCCTGTGGGATCTTAATCAAGTCAAACACCAAGCCTCATTATCATCTATAAATGAAAATGACAATACTTACCTGTTAACACTGTTAGTCTGCTGGGCTGCTGTTACAAAATACCATAGATGCCTTAACAAATGCCACCTAGTCTAAAAAACAGAAACTCATTTCTTTATAGTCCTGGAGGCCAGAAGTTCAAGACAAAGCTGTTGGCAGGTTTGGTTTCTGGTGAGACTTCTCTTCCTGGCTTATAGATGGCTGCCTTCTCACTGTGTGCTCACATGGCCTCTCATATATGTGGGTGTCTGGAGGGGACAAGCACTCATATTTCTTCCTCTTCTTGTAAGGACACCAGTTCTATCAGGTTAAGACCCACCCTTATGACCTATTTGAACCTTTATTACCTTCTTATGGGCTGCATCTCTAAATATAGTCTCATTGGTGGTTAGAACTTCGTCAGATAAATTTGGGATGGTGGCACAATTCAGTCCATAGCAGATTTCAGGACATAGATTATCCTCTGAAAATGTTAGCTCTTTTGATGTGGGCCATAGCAGAGGTCAAGCAGGTTACAGAGAATCCAGCTGATAAAAAAATGCTCTGAACAGATCAAGACAAAAAATATCCCCAGATCCTTGGTGAAGAACTGAAAGGCAACACCACACCCCTACTGTCTATTACCAATATTTTGCTACATTTCTCATTATGCTTAAATGAGCTCTTTAATAAACTAGCTCTTTAATAACCTAGGATTCTCTTTTCTCAATGTCACCTTGTCCCTCACTTCCTACATTTATTTATTTTAATGCCCTTGACCAGAATCGAACCTGGGACCCTCCAGTCCACAGGCCTACGCTCTATCCACTGAGCCAAACCAGTCAGGGCTCACTTCCTACATTTAATCAGCCACCAGATGTCCCTTATGTACATTCTCCACTTCCTATTAGTTCAGGCCTCCATCCTTTATAGCTTAGGTGTTAACAGTAGCTTCCTATGTTCATTTGTCTACATTCATTCTAATCTACTCTCACACCACAGACAGGCTGATCATGTAAAATATAAAATAGATCACGTCACCTCCCTACTTGAAATGTCTTAATGACTTCCTATTATTTTTAATATAAACCCAAATTTTATAACAGGTCTCTTCTGAGAACTGTGGTCAAGATTCAGGAGGCCATAGTGGGAAGATCAAGTTAGCAGCCCCTCCTAAAAGTCCCACTATAGCCAGGCTCAGTGCCTCTGCATATGCCTCCAGTTACCCTTACATCTGCTCAAGACTGACGGCTGCTGCTCATTTCTTTGTTCATTTCAATTGAGACAACTAAAAAGGACACTATTCTTAGAGACTATTACACCAGGCTGCCTGCCAAGCTTAACCCAGGTTTCTTTACAACTTTAGTAATGAAACATTGTTTAAACACCCAGTGGCTGACTTTTCTAAAGACAATAATTGTATCTTCAGTCTTGAATGATTTATTATTTATTTACCGTAAGTAAAGGTCAGGAATTGTTATCTTTTAAATTTTTTTTACTCTTTCACTTCATTACTGCTGTGTATGTGCTCCATGTCTGTGACGTAGGTGCTTATGTAGGTGGGTTCCGACTTACGGCGAAAATCGCGTTACGTCGCACCGTAGAAACGGATTTCCAATGTAACCCGAGGACCTACTGTATATACATGTATGAAGCAGACTTTGGTGCACAGCTTGGTCCTTCCTATACACACCCAGGCCCAGTAGAGGGAGCCACAAGCTGTGGATCGCTGATAGCTCCAAACAGGTTGCCCAGAGGCAGTCACAGACAGCATTTGACACTGGCCTGCACCAGGGCCCCACCAAAGAGGCCCAGAACTATTACACCCAGTGACCAGTTCTAGACAACAGAGCCGGATCCAATAAGCTTCACAAACAGTATATCCACAGGGAGATTTCAGCAGGCACAGAACCATCCTGAGGCGAATTCCACTTCGTATGATCAGCACCTGCGTAGTAATTTTCATGCTGTATTGGGGGTTGAGCTTCACTACCAGCCAGCTTGAGTGTTGATCCCACACACAAATGGACCAACAGCAATCAAGACTGAATTATGACAGGAGGGCCCACATAACATGCACAAGGGACATTCTTAGAGTACCCAGCTCATGTGATCAAGGAGACTACACCACTGGGTCCCACAGGTCGCTGACTACATAAAGCCACCCTACGAAAACAGGGAGCCATAGCAGATCTACTTAAAACATAGAAACAAACACAAAGAGGCAGCTAAAATGCAGAGACAAAGAAACAGGCCCCAAATGAAGGAACAAGAGGATTCTCCACAAGAAGTGCTAAATGAAATGGAGGTAAGCAATTTATCAAATAAGAGTTCAGAGTAATCATTATAAGGATGCTCAACAGCATGACAAAGGATATAGAAATCATAAAGAAGACCAGTCAAAAATGAAGAACATCAAATCTGAAATCAAGAATACACTGAAGGAATAAACAGAGTGCTCAGTGAAGTAGAGGATCAAATCAGCGATTTGGTAAACAAAAAACACCCACTCAAAGCATAAAAAAGAAAAAATAATTTTTAAAAATGAGTATAGTTTAAGGGACCTTGTGACAATGTGAAGTGCAACAAAATCCATGTCATAGGGATACCAGAAGGAAAAGAGAGAAAGCAAGGGATTGAGAACCTATTTGAAGAAATAATGACTGAAAACTTTCCTAACCTGGTGAAGGAAAAAGACATACAAGGAAACACAGAGTTCCAAACAAGATGAACCCGAAGAGGCCCACACCAAGTTACATCATAAATAAAATGGCAAAAGTTAAAGACAGAGAATCTTAAAAGCCACGAGAAAGGAATCTACAAGGGAGCTCTCATAAAACTGTCAGCTGATTTCTCAACAGAAACATTTCAGGCCAGAAGGGATTGGTGTGAAATATTCAAAGTGATAAAAAACAAGGACCTAGAACCAAGACTACTTTACCCAGCAAGGTTATCATTTAAAATTAAAGGAGAAATAAAGAGCTTAAGCTAAAGTACTTTCTTACTAACAAAACAGTATTTTTAAAAAACAGTATTTAAAAAAAAATGTTAAAGGACTTGAAGAACAAGAAGAAAGAGGAGGAAGAGGAGAAGGACAAAGAGAAGGAGAAAGACAAGGAGAAGAGGAAGGAGAAGAAGACTAAGCAAGGAAAAGCCCAGCCAGCGTGGCTCAGCGGTTGAGTGTCGACCTATGGACCAGGTCACAGTTCAATTCCCAGTCAAGGCATATAGGTGGCAGCCAATCAGTGATTCTCTCTCATCACTGATATTTCTATCTCTCTCTCCTTCTCCCTTCCTCTTTGAAATCAATAAAAATATATATATTTTTTTAAATAAAGAGAAGCAAAGGAGAACAAGAAAACAAAGCAAAACAAAACCAGGAACATAATTTAAAAAATAAAATGGCAATAAATATATACCTATCAATAATCACTTTAAGTGTAAAGGCTTAAATGCTCCAATCAAAAGACATAAGATAGCTGAATGGATAAGAAAATAAGACTCGTGTATATGTTGCCTTCATGAGGTCCACCTCAGAACAAAAGATACAGACAAAAAGTAAAGGGATGGAAAAAGATATTTCATGCAAATGGAAAAGAAATAAAAGCTTGGGTAGCAATACTATGTAAGAAAATAGACTTTAAAACCAAGGCTATAGTAATAGACAAAGAAGGACACTACATAATGATAAAGGGAGCAATCCACCTACAGGATATAATTCTTGTAAACATTTATGTAACGAACAGTAAGAGCACCTAAATATGTAAAGCAAATCTTGATGGACATAAAAGGAAAGACAGTAATACAGTTATAGTAGGGGATTTTATCACCACATTGACATCAATAGAAAGATCATCCAAATAGAAAAATCAACAAGGAGACAGTGGTCTTAAGTGACACACCACACCAAATGGATTTAATCAATATCATCAGAGCATTTCACTCCAAAACAGCAGTATATACATTCCCTTTAAGTGTCCATGGTACATTTTCTAGAATAGACCATATGTTAGGATATAAAACAAGTCTCAATAAATTATGACTGAAATCTTATCAGGAATCTTCTCTGACCATAATGCCATGAAACTTGAAATCAATCACAAGAAGAAAACTGAAAAACCCACAAAGATATGGAGACTAAATTACATATTACTAAACAATGAATGGCTTAACAATAGATCAAGGAAGAAATCAAAAGATACCTTGAAACAAATGAAATGAGAACACAACAACCCAAAATCTGTGGGTAACAGGGAAAACAGTCCTAAAAGAGAAATTCATAGCATTACAGGCCGATCTCAAGAAACAACAAAAAGCGCAAATAAACAATTGAACTTTATACTTAAAGGAATCTGGAAAAAAAAAAAAAAAAAAAAAAAAAAAAAAAAAAAAGAAAGCCTAGAGCAGCAGGAAGAAAATAATAAAGATCAGAGTAGAAATGAAATAGCAGTAAGATCAATGAAAGCAAGAGCTGGTTCTTTGAAAAGAAACAAGATTGACAAACCCTTAACAAGACTCATCAAGAAAAAAATAGAGAGGATTCAAATAAAATCAGAAATGAAAGTAACAACTGACACCACAGAAATACAAAGAATTCTAAGAAATATACCAACAAATTGGAAATCTGGAAGAAATGGATAGATTTCTAGAAACATATAATCTTCCAAAACTAAATCAGGAAGAACCAGGGAATGTGATTAGATCACTACTAGTGAAACTGAAGCTCTGGCTGAAGTGGGGGATGAAGGGATTGAGAAAAAGAAAAGAGAACTTATGGACAGGGTCAACAGTGTGGTGATTGCAGCGGGGAGGAAGAAGTTGGAAGAGGGTATATGGGGATAAATGGTGATGAGAAAATAAAATGTAAAACAAAACAGGCTAAGAAACACAAGTTGGGTGATAGTTACTATAGCTTTCACCTTAATTATTCATTAAGCTTTTCAATTATTCTGTGTGGTTCTATAATGTAATGTTTTATTTTACAATAAAGTTATTTTTTAAAAAAACATTAAAAAAAACACCATAAAGTTAAAAAACAAACTAGGAAAATCACTCATATTGTGAACAAAGGACCAATTTTCCCCAAGCATAAAAATTAGCTCTTTAAAAACTGTGAAAAATATCCACAACCCAGTAGGAAAACGAAATAAGGACAGAGTTCCCAGAATAGCAAATACAATTGGCCTTTTAACAAATTACAAAAGGTTCAGCCTCACTACTGAAAAGACAGAAGGCAGGTGTTTCAAAACCTGAAAGGTCTTTTCCTATAGTTCATTTGAAAATCTAGGTTAGATCTTTTTTACTTTTTGGCTTAAAACCTGCCAAGGGCTGCCCATGTATGCAGGTAATTGTGTTTGTTATCAACGTGAAATCACTCTCCTGATCTGCTAGCCATGTATCTTTTTTTCTTTCCATCAAAATCAGTTTTGAGGATCTAGTGAAACTGAAGCACCTACTTCTTGTCCTTTCTGCCACTAGCTATGCACTACTTCTTCTGCAGTGATTTATGCATGAGATTGCTCTGTTGCTCCCTAATATAAACTAACCTAACAGCTTTGACCCTCCCCATATGAGTGTGTCCTAGAACAAGGACTGGAAGTGGTTTCATAGTAGTGACTTTGAACATTACTCAGTTTACCTCTTTAAACTTTCACATATAACAAAGTTGGAAACAGCAAACTGGAAAAATTTTAAGGTGGGGGTGATTAGCTGTCTGGGATGGGGTGGTAGTGGTAGGGGCCGAGCAAGCTGTGAAGGAAGAAGGCCTGAGATAAAGCAACCACATCAAAGAACAACTGAACTCATGATCTTCTTCTGTGGCCACAGGTTAGGCAGCCCCAAGCTCAAGCTGCTTGAGTTTCTCCTGGAGCCCTCGAAGCTGGCTTCGACCCCAGTTGATGTGGATCTGGAGACTGGCCATATCTACAGCCAGCTGCAGGCCTAGAGGAAGGGGAGAAATTGTCACCATGGTATCTGTAGTGTGACACATGACTTAAGGGAATCTGGGCATTCCCAGGCATTGGAAAGGCGCTAGGCCTCTATTATTCCTAAAACATTCCAGGTACACTCTTGCAATGGCTGCTCCAAACCTCACTGGACCCACACCCTCACCTTCTTCAGGTCTTTGCTAAAATGTCACCTCCTCAAAAGACTTTCTTGACCCCCTTCTATCACCCACCAGGAACTAATAATCCACAGATCATTACACACACTGTCTCATGCTCTTATTTTCTTCCTTCTTTTCTCCATTACCACAGTCCCTCGTGGCTTTCACCCTCACTCCTTCCACCTGTTTTCTCTGCCTCCAACAGTATTCCACACTCTGGATCCACATTTAGGTGGCTTCTGCTTGATGCCTCTGCTGGAATAGCTGCTGCCAAATCCTCTGGGCCTCGATGCCAACCAACGCACTGGCCAGTCCTGTCTTCAGCCTACCTATCCAGCAGCAGAGCTGGCCACACATCTGATCAACTCCATCCAGGAAACACATTCTCCTTTTGGCTTCTGGGACACCTCACCCTCTAGGTGTTACTCCTGCTTCACTACTGCTTCTCAGTCTCCTCTAATGGTTCCCCCCTTCCTCTCCTTCACTTCCTGTCCACCTGCTGATTTTACTCCATCTTAGCTTTAATGCTACATGTGTCAGAAACTTAAGAATTTAAATACCAGAGTTATGAGGTGGGCTCTGAAATCTCTCTCCAGCTGAAGCCTCTTCCAAACTCCAGATGCATGTGTGCAACTGCCCACAGAATCTCCACCACTAGGAACACAACCATACCCTTTCAGCTGATGCTTTGCATTTCTCCCACACCTGGTGAGGGCAGCTCCATCCTCCCAGGATTCCTGGCTAGCCAGTGGGCTCATCCTTCACTCCTATCCTTCCCTTATTCCCAAATTGATTTGTCAGCAAATCCTGGGGGTTCTATAGAAGGATATTAAGAAGCTAAGAAGATTCCAGTGCAGGAGGAAACTGAGACAAGAAAATTAAACAAGGCCAAACAGCTTGGGCAACTTGCAGCTAGTCTGCAGCAAGATCTTATCTTTCCCAGCCAAGGACACTTGAGAACAGATGGTTAATACCTCTCCTTCCTAACCAAAGAATGCAGAAAAGGAGGGGGAAGGGAAGGGGAGAGAAGGGAGAGTTTATCTTGCCCACCAAACAAAGAAGTCAGTCATTTGGAAGAGGAGAGTAGAGGGAGTTTTTCTCAAAAGACAGAGAAAGTCAGTAGTCTTGGGACTTGTCAAGATAAAATTGCCAGATGATTCTCATAAATTCTGGGAAAGCCATAAAAAAGTAAAAGGGAGGCCTTGAGATCTAGTATGTACCAACCTCTACCTGCATCTTAAGCCTGGCTGCTCCCTGGTGGCTACTTAATACCTCTGCTCATCTGTTCCCACGCAGAATCCACTGGATTCCTGTCAGGCTGCAAGTCTACCCCATTACTCCCAAAGTCCTCAACAGGGCCTATTCAGCCGTCAAATTATCGGAGCCTAGAGCCCTCTAACCACAGCTCCTGGCTCTCTCTGCTGCACCAACTCTAGTCCACTGGCCTCTTCTCTGCAATGGCCCACACAATCTTGCCTTTTCACCCCAGTTGGCCCCTCTGCTTAGAACACTGTTCCCCCAGATCACCTTCATAAAACAGTTCCCCCAGACCATTCCTGTCCCACTTCATCAACAACACCCTATCTTATTTTTGCATAACAATTTTCATTCCTTACTTATTTGCAGGTTGTCTTTCTCCCCTCAATAGTATAACATTCTATGAGGATATTTGTCCCTTTCATTTCCTGCTGTATCCCAGCACTGATCATGAGCCTAGAACACTGCCAAGATGCTGTAAATGCTTTCAGAAAAAACAGCAGGCATGTAACAAAAGTATGCAATGGAGAAAACCTGCAAAACCCTTTGTAGACTAATCCCAGTCCTGGCATTAGAGGGTCCAATTTTGGCTTAGAGCCACACGGTCAACTGGCAGAGTCCACTCACCCTCCTGGAAGCTGGCTTGGGCTTGCCGTAGGCTATGTGGAACCAGGATTCCAAACCAGTTCAGAGGGTTTGGGGAGGCTGAGAAGACCTCGGGCTCTGGAATCCTGGTAAGGCCCTTGCGCCTTCGAAGAGCTGGAGAAAGAAAGGGTAGAAGTTGGAATCTTATTACCTGGCCCTTAACTTCTGGGTGACAATATTGAACTCTGAGCTCATGATCCTGGGAAATACTGATGGTTGCAAAATCTCTGCAACCTTTTAAGATCCAAAAAACAGCTTACCACAAAAAAACCACCGTTCCCCACTTGTGATTCAAATGTGAGACTGTCCATGCATTCTCAAGACTCTCATAAAACCAACCCTTGTTTAGACAGTCATACACTGACTGCTGGAAGCTATCCATTGTCTACACCAGTGGTTCTCAACCTTCCTAATGCCGCGACCCTTTAATACAGTTCCTCGTGTTGTGGTGACCCCCAATTTCATTGCTACAAATTAAATATAATTAAAGCATAGTGACTAATCACAAAAACAATATGTAATTATATATGTTTTCCGATGGTCTTAGGCGACCCTTGTGAAAGGGTGTTCAAGCCCCAAAGGGGTCGCAACCCACAGGTTGAGAACCTCTGGTCTACACTATCATGAAAGTGCAAACAGGGAACCCAGAAGGCTGATGGATCTTGAGCTTTGGCAAGGGCTAAAAGCTATGCACCAGTTGTTCTGTTGAGACAATGCTGGCTCAAGCAATTTCCTGATGTAATAGTCTCAAAGTAAATATTTACTAATATTTACTGACCTTTAAGATTGCCTGCCTGACTAAGGGCAAGATGTGTGTTCTAAAATTAAATAAAATCTAACAGGGCCTGGGCCCCAGTGAAGCCTTTCCACTAGAGAGCGGTTCTCCGCCAGACCCTCATGATTTCCAAATTCTTATTTCTTGTCTAGTCTCCTCATTTGTGCGTGGCCCTTCTCCAGATCCTGAACCCTAGCCGTGCAGGTTGTGGCTTTCACAACTGAACTTTCCCATTTTGCCTGAACATTCTGAAAGGTCAGACAGACCCTCCAACTCCCTGTTCTTTATGAATGACTAGCTGAGATTGAAAGTTTGTCCTTCTGAAAGAGATAAACATTTTCTTTCCAACTGACTGAGACTTCCTGTAACTACAAATCAATCCCAACTGTAAAAGACTTCACCTATTTCTCCCTATAAAAGTCTAAGGCCAAAATCACTATGCTGAGACATTTTGATCTTCAAATCTGGGGCGCTCTATCAAAGCAACTTGAATAAAATCACCTCCTTAAAGGTACTTTGTCTTTGACATCGGGAGGGGTCCCTGATGGGAAGCGGGGCTCACCTGCTTCACGGGGCCCCACCTCCTCTGGACTCTGGGCGCCGGCTCTTACCACACGAAACTTCTGGAGTCCATTTTGCGCCTCGCTTAAGAAAGAGAAGGGAGGATGGATCTTTGACAGCCCCACCCTGCGCATTCCCCACCCACCCGATTCAGCAGGCAAGACTCCTCACCTGGTGCAGACGCAGACCTGGGGCTCCATGCGGGAGGCATATTGCAGGGGCCCTACCGACTTGGCACCCATGGCATAGCGAGCTTTGGAGAGCGAAAGCCAGCCCTGCGGAAAGAGAGAGGATCAGTAAAACTAGGTTTACCTCGGCGTGACCCCCCGCCCGCCCGCCCCTGGCTCCCACCTCCTCCACCCGGGCGTTCAGCGCCACCCGCTTTGACTCCAGCTCTTCCAGGTCCCAGAGCAGCTGCAGCAGCAGCGAGTCCAGCTCCGCCCGTAAATCGGCTGCGGCCATGGCCCACCGCGCTCTAATCTGGAGCCAGTCTCCTTCTAGGTCGCCCAATCACCGCTCACCGTGCCGGTAGTGTAGCCAATGGACGTTCGAGATCGGCCGTCGCTGTGGGCCCAGCGATCACGTAGTGGAAGCCGTGGGGTTGAAAGCCGTGGGAGTCTCGGCTTCGAAGGGCAAGCGTCCTCAGAGCAGCAGCATTGGAACCGAGTAGTCGCTTTCTGCGCTTAGCATCCGAAGCGAATAAGCCAACCGGAAAGTTGGCGAGAGCTGTGGGGTTCCGAGTCGCTTCTGGAAGCGGCTGCATTTTAAAAGTAGGGCTATCGCTGTGGCGAAGGAAGGAGGCGTAGCAACCATTTTAAGAAAGAAACGGCTTTAGATTTAATTCCAAAAGGAGCTGTTAATCAATCCTGCGGCCTACCGTTGTGCTGGCTTTACAGCTGCTGCACTATTTCAAGCCGCCAATGGCATAATAACTAGCGGTACATCATCTTCAATTTGGGCATTCTGCACAGCCGCGACAAATGGTGAAGCCAAAGAAGACATCTTTATTAATGGCAGCCCCAGGCCGCCTAACATCTTGACATTTCTTCTGCCTATTGGTAGCTCCAGTGAGCATGCGCTTCTGGGCTGGCCAATCGCCTTGTGATTCCCATCAGCAGCGTTTAGTGAACCTCTACCCTTTTCTTGGTTGAGGGCGGAAGCGAGGGCTGCGTAGTGCCGGCAGCTCTCGCAGATTCTCCGAAACCCACGTGGGAGCGGCGCCCAGGATGGTAGGGATGTTTGAGCTTCTGTTTTGGAGGTTGGGGGTTCGCGGAGGCCTGGGGATGAGGTCTGTGGGCTCGGGATGGGTGGTCCCCCGGGGCCGAACGTGCATGGAGAAAGAGGCGCTCACCCGACACGCTGTTCCCTAGTTGCGCCGTGAGGCGCGCCTTCGCCGCGAGTACCTCTACCGCAAGGCCCGCGAGGAGGCCCAGCGCGCCGCCTACGAGAGGAAGGAGAAGGTGCGGCGCGCGCTCGAAGGTATGGTCCCCGCTGCCCGGCGGCGTCACCCAGCCTTAGAGAGACTGCGGGTTTGCATTTTAAAACCCAATGGAAAAACCAAGTGACTTAATTAGCATTTCTTTGGTAGTATAGTTGGGCATCTTTTCAAGTATTTACTGGTCATTTTCTTTGCCTGCTGGGTCTTTCTGTTGCTTGCAAGTGCTCCTCCAGATGATGGTATGAATTACTTGTCATTTATGCTACAGTATAGAGATTTTACAGCTTGTCTATTAATTTTGCTTACAGTGTGTCTAGTTCTTCTCAAATTTAAAATTATCCCTATGGTCCTTGTAGACGTTCCACTCCTCGTAGTTTTTCATCTCGTTATCTTCTTTAGTACCAGGTACTAAAGCATATCTTGCTGTCTTTTAGTGGTATTATGAGTCCCTTGCATTTTTAAACTGTTAATCCGTATATAATTTAATTTTAGTTTTGTTGTAAATTAGGGTCTAATTTTGCAATGTTTTCCCCACTTTACATTTGCCATACTAATGAAGAGTTTGTCACACATGTCTAATTAAAAATGACATATTTATTCACCCAGTTGTGTTAGTTCTTGTGAAGCTTTGTTTCTTATCTGAAGGTACACCAACTCGGTATCTGATTATTTTAAATTACTTAGATGTTCCTAGTTATTAGGTATATACATATCTACATATACATATGTGTGTGTATGTTTATGTTAAGCATAATGTTAAACAACTGTAATCTATCCGCCCATCTTAAGAAATGGAAAGTAGTCAGTATACATGGGTTGGCAAAAGTAGGTTTACATTTTTTTGTATGGAAAGACATTTCAGGTTATTATTACAATAGCTTTATTAACTCAAAGAATGTTACAATGCAACTATAAACCTAGTTTTGTCCACCCCTGTATTGAAATTCAGGAATATTTTCCACAACTTAGGTAACCACAGTATTGAATATTGTTTAAAAATAAACTGTTTCCTTGGTTTTTTTGTGTGTGCTTATATGGTACTTATTTGTATCCCTAAATCATATTGGTTGATTTTTAGTTTTAAAGGTAGTATTAGGTTATATGTATTCTTTGGCAGTTTTATGTTTTTGTTCAGCATTGTTTCTAAAATCCTTTGAGTATAGTGGAGATTTCCTTCAGGTGAGTATCTTCCATGTGCAAGAATTCCACCAGGGCACGCTAACAAGTGCTGGTTCCAGGAGCACAGTCATGTATAGCCCTATACTCCCAAGGTGGATGTTCCCACAGCCCAGCCCCTATGCCAGGTCAAGCTTTAGTTCACAGAGGAAACTTCTGACCTAGAGCATCATGATTAGCAGCTTTGTTGTCAGAGAGTTTCAGGATTTCTGGTCCACCTTTATACAGAAAGAGCAGCCTAAAAACCTTCAAGCCATGAGACTTAGGAACTGTAGCAAATTGTTTCCTATAACCATTGTTAACAGGTTAGCATGTAGATAGAAATAGTCCCCAACCTCTCACCCCCCCCAGTATCATCTCTGCTCAGAAAGGAGTAAGAAAGGTATTTTTTCCATCAGGTTTGTAAGCCATAGTGTTGTATTAACTGAGACCTTCATCTGTATATCTCACTTATCCCTCTGTCTTTCCCCTGCAGAGAACCGCCTGATCCCCACGGAGTTACGTAGGGAGGCTTTGGCCTTACATGGTTCCCTGGAGTTTGACGACGCTGGTGGTGAAGGTGACCTTCCCCAACACTGGGGCCCACTGGCCTCCATATCTTTCCTCAGACACCTTGAGGAAAGGCTCTGCAACTCATGTTCCTGGAACTGTGCCCCAGAGTCTTCATGGTTCTGCCCTGATGGCTACTCAGAGGAGCTCGTCCTGAGTGCTCCCAATTCCAATTAGAGATACATGTGATACCACCCAACTTACTCTCTGTTTTGCTTTGGTCTCCCTCACTGGAATGTGAATTTTGCTGGGACAGGATAGTGTCCATTATGTTCACTGCCATTTCCCGAGCTCTTAGCACTTCATTGGCACCCAAATGTTTTACTCATTGTGTTAGTCAACACATCTGAAAGGAATCACAAATGATGTAAATATTTGTTAGGAGAAATAGGAGTCTGTTACTTTTGGCCTTATTAGAATCTGTACTTATGCTAACACAATAGCCATTAGCCCTGTGTGATTAATACAGCTTAAATGAGTGAAATTAAATCAAATTAAAAAATTCAGTTCTGCATTAAACTTGTGCTTGTAGCCAATATGGCTTGGTGCCACCCTATTGCCCAGTGTGGGTGTGGAGCATCCTATCACTGAAGATATTGTCAGATGGTGCAGCTCTGAATGGATTCTGCCACTCCCAAGTTAGTATTTCACTTCCCAAGATAATCTCATGTTCTTGCCCCTCATGCATCTAACAGGTGTGACCAATCATGTGGATGATGAATATCGATGGGCAGGGGTTGAGGATCCCAAGGTCATGATCACGACTTCCCGAGACCCCAGTTCACGCCTCAAGATGTTTGCAAAGGTATCAAAAGAAGCAGGGAGTGGAAGATGCTCAGGTACCAGTGGCCTGAGTCCTAACTAGTGTGTGTACACGTGCAGGAGCTGAAGTTGGTGTTTCCCGGTGCCCAGCGTATAAACCGTGGCCGACATGAGGTGGGGGCACTGGTGCGAGCCTGCAAAGCTAATGGTGTCACCGACCTGATAGTTATCCATGAGCATCGTGGCACACCTGGTAAGGCTGGTGGGAGGGAGCAGGGTGTTTGCCGGGTTGGCCATCTGAGAGCATATAGTCTCTGACAGCCTATCTGGCCCCACCAGTGGGGTTCATTGTCAGTCACCTGCCCTTTGGCCCCACTGCTTACTTCACACTATGCAATGTGCTTATGCGGCATGACATCCCTGACCTGGGCACCGTGTCAGAGGCCAAACCTCACCTCATCATTCATGGCTTCTCCTCCCGTCTGGGCAAGCGGGTGAGTCTGGGATCATGGGACTAGGGCTGGGGGCAGGCGATGCCAGGCTGGGCATTCCCCAATTTTCTTCCCTCTGCCCCAGGTGTCTGACATACTTCGTTACCTGTTCCCTGTGCCCAAAGAAGACAGCCATCGGGTCATCACCTTTGCAAACCAGAATGACTACATCTCTTTCCGGTGTGTCCATGGGCTGGGCTCTGGGATTGTATCCTGACCTTTGTGTCCCTATACTATTGGTTGTTGACCTATAGCTGCTCCTGCCTCCTCTCACTCCTGCCCTGCCTCCCCTTGCCCCAGACACCATGTGTACAGGAAGACCAACCACCGCAATGTGGAGCTGACCGAGGTTGGCCCTCGCTTTGAGCTCAAGTGTGAGTTTGGACTTTATCTCAGGTCTGTTGGTGGGGAAAAGCTGGCTGTATAGTTGATAATGTCTCTGTTCCCCTCTACCAGTATATATGATTCGCCTTGGCACGCTGGAACAGGAGGCCACAGCAGATGTGGAGTGGCGTTGGCATCCTTACACCAACACTGCACACAAGAGGGTCTTTCTAAGTGCTGAGTGAGCCCATTCTGTTGTCAGGATATGGGCTTGGACCCCGGAGGTGGGGGCGGTCAGAATAAAGTCTGTGTGCCACACCACCCCATTTGCCTCTGTTTGGTTTGGACAGACCAGATGTCAGGGTAAGCATAAAGGATGATGTCCATGGGGTCTTCTTAGCTGGGGACCTGACAGCTTGGGGACATTCTCAGGCCTGGTGTTGACATTGTGTGTAGGACAAAGCAGACTCAGCATGTTGGCTTCCTCTTGAGTTATTAGGACGGTTTGGCACTGTCCCTGGGAGAGTTGGAGCTGCTGTTTCTCATCTGCCCATCTGGGAGGATGATGGGCATGGGTAGCAGGGCCTGTCACATTTGCTCCAAGTAAGCATCAGACTCGAGGGGCTGACACAGAGGATGGGACCTAGTCAGTGCTTCCCAGGATCCCTCTGCCTACTTCAGCACACAGGCACACCTTTCCATTCACTAGGGACACATTGACACTTTAGAGACTACCAGCTGTGCACACCACCTGCTCTCTTGTTAGGGAAGGGTTTATCTGAGGTCAGGGCACGGTCATGGCTGCTCAGGAGATTCTGGGATCTTTACTTGACCTATCCACAGTCATTTGCTTTGCCCTTCCTCTCTCCCCACTTCTCTATTATGTATTCAGAGCCCTGGTGTCACACAAAATGGATGACAAGATCCTACATAATGCACACAGGTTGACAGGAAGGAGAATGATAGCAGTAAGAAAGATATCTATCATGCCAGGTGCGAACAGGGCTATGAAGAAAAAAGTCAGACAGAAAAATGGAGAGGGAGAGGCCTCTGCAAGTGCCCTGAGATCTACATGATGGCATGAAACAGCAGGGGCCACCTAGATGGTCCATGCAAACTCTTAGGTAGACAGTCCTCATAAGGGTCTCAGGACCAGGAGCAGCCCAGTAGGAGAGGGGTCTTGAGGGAGAGCAGGGGACCCATAGGACCAAATGGGCCATGGCATTCAGGGAGAGGAGGGGATGGGACATCACAGGATGTCTATAATTCTAACTCAACTCAACTCATGAGTCCAGTTAGTTCCTTCTTCAGGGCTTTTCTGGAGCCTCGTAGCTTGCCACAGCCTCACTTCACAAATGAAGAATATGCTATTAAAAATTTTTTGCAAGTTATGGAGATTTCAAAATACATACAAGAAGTAGAGTAGTATGATCTGTGTTGGTTTCCTGGGGCTACCATAACAAATTACCACGAACTGAGTGTTTGTTTATCGGACGGATGTAGAAGATGAAGGTGTGAGCTCTACCCACAAGCCCTCCATTCCTTACCCCTTCCAGCTTCTGATGGCTGCCAACAATCGTTGGTGCTCCTTGGCTTGTAACTACATCATCCTAGTCTCTGCCTGTGTCTTCATATGACCTTGTACTGTCTGTGGTCTCCCCCCCTTTTTTTAAAAATATTTATTCAGATTATTAGAGATGTTACTCTTTTTTCCCCCCATAGCTCCCCTCCACCCGGTTCCCACCCCACCCCATGCCCTTATTCCCCCTGACCCCCGACTGTCCTTGACCATAGGTGTAAGATTTTTGTCCAGTCTCTTCCCACACCCCGCACACCCCTTCCCCCAGAGAGTTGTCAGTTCACTTCTTTTCTATGCCTTTGATTCTATTATATTCACCAGTTTATTCTGTCCATCAGATTTTTTATTCACTTGATTTTTAGATTCACTTGTTGATAGATATGTATTTGTTGTCACTTTGTTGTTCATAATTTTTATCTTTACCTTTTTCTACTTCTTCCTTTTCTTAAATACCCTTCAGCATTTCATATAATACTGGTTTGGTGGTGGTGAACTCCTTTAGCTTTTTCTTGTCTGTGAAGCTCTTTATCTGACCTTCAATTCTAAATGATAGCTTTGCTGGGTAGAGTAATCTTGGTTGTAGGTTCTTGCTATTCATCACTTTGAATATTTCTTGCCACTGCCTTCTGGCCTGCATAGTTTCTGTTGAGAAATCAGCTGACAGTCATATGGGTACTCCCTTGTAGGTAAGTAACTGGTTTTCTCTTAGTGCTTTTAAGATTTTGTCTTTTGCCCTTGGCATTTTAATTATGATGTCTTGATGTGGTCCTCTTTGGATTCCTCTTGTTTGGGATTTTCTGCACTTCCTGGACTTGTAAGTCTATTTCTTTCACCAGGTAGGGGAGTTTTCTGTCATTATTTCTTCAAATAGGTTTTCAATATCTTGCTCTCTTTCTCCTTCTGGCACCCCCATAATTTGGATGTTGGTACGCTTGAAGTTGTCCCAGAGACTCCTTACACTATCTTCATATTTTTGGATTCTTTTTTTCTTTTTGCTCTTCCAGTTGGATGTTTTTTGCTTCCTCATATTTCAAATCTTTGACTTGATTCTTGGGATCCTCTAGTCTTGTGGGAGGCCGCCCATTGTCTTCACTAGCAGAGAAGTGCAAACAAGGATCCTGGAATGCTGTGAGTTATGCACCGATTGTCTAATCCTGATAATGGGGGCTTAAGCTATTTCTTGATCAAATAGTCTCAGAGTAAATCCTCCTAATATTTACTGACCTTTTAAGATAGTCTGTTACTGCAATTACCTGCCTGACTAAGGGTTTTATGCTTAACCAAAGTGAATAAAAGGCTGGCGAGGCCTGGGCACTGGTGGAAATCCTTCCCCTTGAGTTGGACTTGCCCACCTGGCCCCCCAATATTTCCAGATTATCTCTTGTCTCTTCTCTTTCATTTGTGTGCAGCTCCTCTTCCAGATCCTGAACCCTGAACCACGCGGGACATGAGGGAAATAAACATACACAAGTCTGTTAAATCTCTGTATATTACTCTTTATTTCAGTCAGTGTATTCTTAATTTCTGTCTGATCCTTTTCCATTTATTTTTGTCATTCTCACTAAGTTCCTCGGAGGTCTCACTAAGTTCCTTGGAGGTTTCTAGAACATTCTTGAGAGATCTTATAACTGGTTTTGAACTCTATATCCAGTATTTTGTTTTCTTCCATTTCTTTCATTTGTGACATGTTTCTTTGTCTCCACATTTTGGCTGCTTCCCTGTGTTTGTTTCTATGTATTGGGTAGCTGCTAAGTCTCCTTGAGTTGATAGAGTGGCCCTGTGTGGTAGGTGTCCTATAGGGCCCAGTGGCTCGGCCTCCCCAATCACCTGAGGTAGACACTCTTGGTGCACCCCTTTGTGGGCTATGTGCACAGTCTTGTAGTTGAGCCTTGATTGCTGTTGGTATCACTGGGAGGAATTGACCACCAGGCCAATTGGCAGTGAGGACCAGCTGTGTCTACAATGGAAGAGCTGCTGTGCAGGAGACACTCTTATGGGGAAGGACTTGCTTCAGTGGGGCTTTGGTGCTTACTGAGTCTGCCCCTTGAGTGTGTCACTTAATGGATGTGAAGAGTTGTAATCTGGTATGGTCTCACACTGACGACTGGCTACACTTGCTCTTGGATCTCCAAGGAGGTGCAAAGTCAGCCTCTGCCTGGAGTCACCCAGCAGGAGCTACAGAGAGATCTGTAGATTCCTCCTCCTTGTATTGGATTTGGAAGTGCCCAGACGAGACCCAGCTGTGAAGTAAGGCAGGCTGCTGCTGCCAGCCTTGGGCCTTCTTTTAATAGCTTTGGGGCTCCCTGACCCAGCGGCTGCCTGTTTGACAGGTTTTAGGCTGAGAAGGAACAGGCTATTCATATGCAAAAGCCACTGCACACAGTTTGGGTGTGGTTGTAAATTGGGTGGGGCGCCTGGTGATCTCAGGAATCACCAGCAGGGAGCAAACAGTAATGGCTGTCAGTTAGCCCTGCACCTTTGAGGTTCCAGTGCAGGAACAATGACCATTGCAAGCACCTCTGTCAGTCTCAATGCGCTTTCTTCACCTCTCCGGTTGTAGTACCCTCACTCAGCCAGTTTTCCTGTGGTTCTGGATGATAGTTGTAATTTTGATGTGGTTGTGAGAGGCAGCAAGTGCAGGTGTTTCCCTTTGCTGCCATCTTGGTTCTCCCCCATTTATTGTATTCTTCATTTCTGATTGGTTCTTGTTTGTTTTCTATCTTCTTTTTTAAACCTTTATTATTGAGATTATTACACATGTCCCCCTTTTCCCCCCATAGCCTCCTTCCACCTGGTCCCCACTGTGCCCCAAGCCTTCACCACCCTATTGTCTGTTTCCATACATAATGCATATCTACACTAATAAAAGACAAAGATGCTAATTGACCATACCTTTGTCACGCCCACCAGCCAATCAGAGCAACTATATGCAAATTAACCCAACCAAGAGGCGGCCGGGAGCCACAGAGCTGGAGCAAGCAGGAAGCTTGGTTGCCCCAGCGATGGAGGAAGCCAAGCTTCCCGCCTGCTTTGGTGGGCTGTGGCCTCCACAAAAGGCAACAAAGTTTCAATTATAGAAGCTAAATAAATCCCAGATACCTGCTTCCAGCCAGCCTCCAATGGGAGCTTGGGTGGCTGGGGCTGTGGCCAGCCTGCAAACAGCCATCAGCCCCTCACCCAGACTGGCCAGGGACCCCAGCAGGACCGTCCACCCTGCAGGGGATGTGGCCAGCCTGAAAACAGCCCTGAGCCTCTCACCCAGGCTGGCCAGGCACCCTAGTGGGACCCCCACCCTGATCCGGGACACCCTTTAGGGCAAACAAGCTGGCCCCCATCCATGCACCAGGCCTCTATCCTATATAATAAAAGGTTAATATGCAAATTGACCCTAACAGCAGAATGACTGGGAATGACTGGTCACCATGACACACACTGACCACCAGGGGGCAGACGCTCAATGCAGGAGCTGCCCCCTGGTGGTCAGTGTGCTCCCACAGAGGGAGTTCTGCTCAGCTACAAGCCAGGCTGATGGCTGCCAGCACACCGGTGGTGGCGGGAGCCTCTCCCACCTCCCCAGCAGCGCTAAGGATGTCTGACTGCAGCTTAGGTCTGCTCCCCGCTGGCAAGTGGATATCCCCCGAGTGCTCCCTGGCTACCAGAGGGATGTCTGACTGCCAGCTTAAGCTCAATCCCCTGGGGAGTGGGCCTAAGCCAGCAGGTGGTCATCCCCCAAGGGGTCCCAGACTGTGAGAAGGCACAGGCCAGGCTGAGGGTCCCTCCCGAGTGCACAAATTTTTGTGCACCGGGCCTCTAGTTTATATATAAAAGCCTAAGTGACCAAATGACCGGTCAACCAGTCACTCTGACGCACACTGACCACCAGGGAAATGACGCTCAACGCAGATGATTGGGCTCCCTCCTGTCTGGATCGGTTATGCAGGGATAAGGCTGAAGCCAGCTATCTGACAAGTGGTCCTGGATTGTGAGAGGACACAGGTCAGGCCGAGGGACCCACTGGTGCACGAATCTCTGCACCAGGCCTCTAGTCTATAATAATAAACATGTAACATGCAAATCGACTGAACAGCCAGACAGCGGAACGACCAGACGAAGCTGGGGCTGCGAGGGCCTACTCTTGCACAAATTTTGTGCATCAGGCCTCTAGTATGTATGTAAGTTGTTTGGTTAATCTCTTCCCAGCCCCACTCCACCTTTCCCTCTGAGATTCATCAGTCTGTTCCATGTTTCCATACCACTCCTGGCCTGCAACGTTTCTGTTGAGAAATCAGCTGACAGTCATATAGGTGCTCACTTGTAGGTTTTTAAAATTCTCTCTTTATCTTCAGTCTTTGGCATTTTAATTATGATGTGTCTTGGTCCCTTTGGGTTCATCTTTTTTGGGACTCTCTATGCTTCCTGGACTTGTATGTCTATTTCTTTCACCAGGTAGGGGAAGTTTTCTGACATTTTTTCAAATAGGTTTTTGATTTCTTGCTCCCTCTCTTCTCCTCCCAGTATCCCCAGGATGTGAATGTTGGTACACTTGAAGTTGTCTCAGAGGTTCCTTACACTATTTTCATATTTTTGGATTCTTTTTTCTTTTTGCTCTTCCGGTTGGGTGTTTTTTGCTTTCTTATATTCCAAATCTTTGATTTGGTTCTTGGCTTCCTCTACTCTACCGTTGATCCTCTGTAAATTATTCTTTATATCAGTTAGTGTATACTTCATTTTTGACTGGTCCTTTCTTATATTGTTGATGTTCTCACTAAGTTCCTTAAAGTTCCTTTTAAGCATTGTTTTGAATGATGTATCTGGTAGTTTTCTTCCATTTCACTTAATTTTCTCTGGAGATTTATTCTGTTCTTTCATTTGTGACATGTTTCTTTGTCTCTGCATTTTGGCTGCATCCTTGTGTTTGTTTCTATGTATAGGTATATCTGCTATGTCTCCTGGTCTTAGTAGACTGGCCTTATGTAGTAGGTATCTTGTGGGGCCAGTGGCACAGTCTCCCTAAATCACCTGAGCCAGGTGCTCCAGGTATGTCCCTGGGTGGGTTGTGTGTGCCCTGTTCTAGTTGAGCCTTAATTGTTGTTGGATGCCGTAGACCAATTCCAGCATGTCATAATTTTAAGAGTTTCATCAAAAGGTTGATGAGACTTGGGGACTCATTTCCCCAAACCTGAATAGGAAACTGATTGTGGCTGCCAGACAGTTAAAGGGCATCTTAATCTACATGTTATTGCCTCTTACTGGCCAAACACCTGAACAGCCGTAGGCTATTCCCCAAACTGACAATGCTTCTGTACCCTTTGAAACCTTACCTTTGGAAGTATATTATCTCCACCTTGCCTTCGGGCAAATTGTGTGAATAAAAGCAAGGGTCCTAGGCAAGGAGGAACTCTTCAGTTCCTTTAGCTGAAGGTCCTCTGACTCCCAATGCCTTTCAAAATTATATCTCGTCTCCGGACTCTTTATTCTCTGGATTCCTATGTCATCTACGTGCAGCCCCTTTCCAGATCCCTGAACCCTTCTTGATGCTGGGACATGAACCCCGGCATAAATAGATGCCCGAAGTGGGACTTTCTGAACCCTGGAAGCAGCGGCCATTGTCATGTCAGTGGACTGTATCTTTTTAATTATGATATGTCTTGGTGTGGGCCTCTTTGGGTTCATCTCATTCATTATAGCAGAGGAGCTGTTGCATAGGGGCTGATCCCATGGAACAGGATTCATTTTAGCAGGGCTCTGGTGCCAGCTGAGCCTACCCTTTGGTGGTTTCATTTGTGAAGGTGGTTGGGTAGTGCTCTGATGTGGTCTGAATCAGGCCACTGGGTGTGTTGGTTCCAGGGCCTCTTGTGAGGGACCAAATTCAGCCATTGCCTTTGCTCTGCCTGGGGCCACTTGTTATGACCTACAAAGTGACCTATAGATGTTTGCCACTTGTTCTGGGCTTAGAGGTGTCTGGGAGAACCTAAGCTGTGAACTGAGGCTGCCTGCCACTAGTGCTAGGCTTGGAGCTGCTTAGCAAGAGGAAGGACAAGGTGTCTACATCAATGATAACTTTTTTTCCCTCAGAAGATTCCTTTATTAAAACTGAGTGACATTGATAAGGGGACAGTGCAAAAAATTTTGGTCCAGGAAAAAAACAATCCTTATATAATAAAAGCCCCGTATGCAAATTGTTCAACTGGGAGTTTGACTGCTCACTATGATATGCGCTGACCACCAGCGGGTGGTGCAGAACATGGCATGTGTCGGTGGCGCAGCGCTAGCAGCGAGCGGCAGTGGAGGCACTGCCAACCCTGATGGGCCCTGATAAGAGTGGGACCTTGGTGGGATGGTAGAGCAGGTGAGTGGGCAGCACCAGACCAAGGCAGGTGCGAGCAGGCTCCCGATCACCCCGCAGATGGCTACCTGCATTAGTGGCAGGGGGTGGGGCCACTGCCTGGCTCCCAAGCTCGGAGAGAGCCGGGTGGGGGGCCCTGCTCCGACTGATCATCCCACAGATACCAACCAGTGGCTGGAAGGCACTGATTGCCTGATTGGCCCCAGGCCCCAGGTTGTGATGGAGAACTGGGGGTGGGTGGCAGCGACCAACCTCCCGCGGTGCCCAGGTGGAGGGCTGCAACCTCTCGCCAGACTACCTGGGGGTGTGAGTCCCTGAGACGGAAGTGCGGTGAGAATGTGGGGTGTCCGCCAAGCTTGCTCTCACTCCCCCTGCTACCCTCCCCTGGGACACAGGGCTCATGCACTGGGGAAGCCCCCGTACCCCGGTACCGGTCGCCTGTGAAGAGCCAGGCTGTAGCTGCCAGGACTGCAGGGGGCTGGTCGGGCTCCCCATGGGTACGTGCAGAAGCTGGTCTGCGAGGCCGGCCGGGAGACAGCGCGCTGCCCATCTGGCTTCCGTGTGGCATGGCTGGATGGTCCAGAGGCCCATGCTGTGCCCGGGCCCGTGGTGTCCAGCCGCACTCACCACATCTCCGCATGGGGACTTGGGTGCTGTGACTCAGGCGGAGGGGTGCGTGCAGAGGCCCGGGTGCTGCTCAGGGCCCAGAGGTCAGCTGGGACCTGCTCTTCCATGCCAGACACTCACACTTTGATCACTGGGCAGGCCTAGGGACTGCACCTGTGCACAAATTTCGTGCACTGGTCCTCTAGTACAGTTAAAAAGTTATCTTCAACAGGACACTCTAGGAATGCTGAGCTGCTTTCTCATGGTTCCAGCCCCCAAGAACAGAGATTGTCCAGTCACCAGGGAGAAGCTTTCAAGGAAGGGGTGGAATAATAGCAGGAAGGGGAAGAGAGAGAGAATATTCTGCTGTCCCCAGTGTGGAACTGGCATGTGTTGTAAATGTTTCCCACCATGTCCCGCGTAGTTCAGGGTTCAGGATCTGGAAGAGGAGCCGCACACAAATGAAAGAAAAGACAAGATAATTTGGGAATATTGGGGGGCCAGGCGGGTAAGTCCAACTCAAGAGGAAGGACTTCCACCGGTGCTCAGGCTGTACCAATCTTTTATAGTCAGAGGTAAACAAGGCAATGGTCGCCATAGTTACACAGTTCTTGTGAGTTTCACCTGTTTTGCCCATAGTTACACTTCCTGCACTTTCCTCAGCCCATTAGCCTCGCAGATAAGATCCAGGGAGTGTTATAAGGTCAAGCCTAATTAAGCTAAGAGGACTGAGCCCTCTAAGCTGGGACTTGTTTGTGACTTTGCCAGCAGGTCAGTCCGAGGCTCAATCCTATATTGGTTCCCCACAGCATGGATACCAAGCTGGGGGATGTAATCGCAGGAGCCTGAGGAAGGGGTGGGGAAGCATGGGCTTTATCAGGTCTATGGGTTTAGAGCCCCTGCCCAACAGAATTCCCCTTGCTGTGTTGAGTATGCAAGCCTGGGATTCAGGGAAGGGGTAGACTTTGTGGGGTGACAGCATAATCTGGGTAGTGAACTTGGCCTTTACCAAGGCACAGATGGAAGTCCGGACTACATTGCCACACAGGGACCCCTGCCTCACACCTTGCTAAACTTCTGGTTCCTGAATTAGGAGTTTGGGGTTAAGGTCGGCTTTGGGGGTGGGTCAAGTGTGGCCCTCCTTTTGCCCTGTTCCCTTCTCTGTCCCCAGTCTAACCCAAATTACCTCCCTCTCCTGTTACACCTCTTGTTTAGATGATCATGAAAAACATGTATTTGATTTTTAATCAAAAATGCTTTATTTTCTGTAAATGTGTCTTTTGGCACTCATGATCTTTGTTCTCCTCCTTCTTCCCACCTGCCCACATCCTCAGATGAGAGAGATGTGGCTGAATGCAGATATCATGCTCAGGACCCTCCAGATCACCTTCCAGAAGGTACTAAAAGGGGAGGAAGAGGCTCCCACATGGAGAGAGCTGTTTCCTGTCTGTTTTCTCATCTGTAAAGTGGGCATTAACAGCAATACCCATCTCTTCAGTTATTATCTGTTGGATTTAAATGGAAGGTGTTTAGAACTGGCTCTGACATGTAGTAGGTGCCCAATAAATGCTTTCTTTTTTAAATTCTTTGCACCACTTTTCTGTGTTTTAAATATCTCATGTGTATAACAGCTGCAGTATGTGTTCTGGCCAAACAGAGGGCTCCACAGCTATCCTGACTGTATTTTCGCCATGGTGGAGGATCTTGTTACCTCCAGGGATCTGGCCCCAGCCCCCTCTGTGTCCACTGAAGGTTAAGGAAATTGGGGTCTGGTGGGACAGAGGGGACTGGGAATGGGGAAAGGAGGCTTGGAGAGAGTCTTGCAGTTTGAATGCCTATTTTTGAGTAACCTGAGACCACACTTGTTCATATTGTATCAACTGAAATTGTTAGCATTTATTGAAGGTCAACTGCCTACTGGGGAGTAAACTCAGGAGTTGATGCTCAATAGATGTAAGCAATTAAAGAGTTGTCTTATTTTTTAAAATATATTTTTTATTTCAGAGAGGAAGGGAGAGGGAGAGAGCGATAGAAACATTAATGATGAGAGAGAATCACTGATCGGCTGCCTCCTGCCTGCCCCACACTGGGGATTGAGTGTGGGGCAGGCAGGAGGCAGCCGATCAGTGATTCTCTGCAACCTGGACATGTGCCCTGACCAGGAATTGAACCATGATCTCCTGATTTAGAGGTCGACACTCAGCCAATGAGCCCGCCAGCCGGGCAAAAGTTTTCTTCTTTTAAACTAAAATCTGGGGGTTCTGAAAATCAAAAGGCCCCCAATCCCAAATGCCCACTTAAAAGGGATTGTGGGCATGCCTTAACTGGGCTCTGATTCTCGCGTTTTAGCATGGGATGTGGATAAACAGGTGTCCTTTGTACTATGGATTATGTGAAACAGTTGCTCCTGACCCAGGTACAATGAGGGCATACGTGTATGCCTGTGCAGTGCAGTCTCCTGCCTCTGAGGGCCTGCTTGCTCTTGTGTCTCATCTCTCTGGCCCCGAGGCTCCCACCTAACTTCAGCCTCTCAGACCTGGTCCTCCCAAAGTGGTAGCAGCAGCCTGCAGTTGTGCAGGCAGAGCGCAGGTACAAGCTCAGGCTTCTCCTTTCAAGGATGCATCCCTCCTTCTCATCTTCCCTTCTCAATGACTTCTTCCCCTGTCAGGAGTAATACAGTTTCCTGTACCATGCTGTGGTTCAGATGGTCTTCTCAGAACTCCAAAACTTGAGTCCCCATTCCCAGAACCTCCAGGCAGTACCAAGGCGCCCTTTCAATCCACCAACACCATCAGACCAAGATCCAGAGCACAGGTGCATGACCACCACCATCACACATCCAGCTTCTGGTCTCCTTTTAGGAGCAGGGACTAACTCACTATGATGTCTACCTTTGTCCTCCTACTTGCTCCCTTCCAGACTATCTCCTCTTCAGCTTACCCCACAGAGCCCACAGTGATTCCATCAGGAGCCTGGCCAGTTTTCTTGAAGCCTCAGGTCCTTCCCTCCTGTCTTTCCCCAGAATTGTGGCCCACTCTTTGATGATGCCATCTTCCTCCAGAGTTTTCTGGCTCTTCCTGCCATGCCTGCCTGGCCTACCTGGTGTTTTCCTCATGTACCTAGCTCCAGTCCCTCATTCTTCCTTTTCTAATTTCTCATGCTGGGAGACTAACCCTTTCCTCATCCTTGAAACACCAGACTCTTTCTTGCTGTTCAGTTCGCTAAATTGATTCATCCTTTCTTTGAATTGATCTCTGGGAATCCATGCCAATATGACTCCTTAATCCCAGAGAGCCCATTGCCCATGCCTCAAAGGCTTGCCCAGTGGTCCCATGTTAGCCCTTTCCAGCTTCCTCAGTCATTAATCAGCACATATTTCTTTCTTTTTTTAATTTTGTTTTATTTCTTTAAGTATTAAAAAGGGTATTACATATGTCTCCTACCCCTCCGCCCCCCTTGGCATTCCCCGGGTCTCCCCTACCACCCCAGTGCCTTATGTCCATTGGTTATGCTTATATGCATGCATACAAATCCTTCGATTGATCTCTTACCCCCCCTCCTGCCCCCCAACCCTCCCCAGCCTTCCCGCTGTAGTTTGACAGTCTGTTCGAGGCGGCTCTGCCTCTGTATCTATTTTTGTTCATAAGTTTATAATGGTCTTTATTATCCATAAATGAGTGAGATAATGTATTTTTCTTTCATTGACTGGCTTATTTCACTTAGCATAATGCTCTCCAGTTCCATCCATGCTGTTGCAAATGGTAAGAATTCCTTCTTTTTTACAGCAGCATAGTATTCCATTGTGTAGATATACCACAGTTTTTTAATCCATTCATCTGCTGATGAGCACGTAGGCTGTTTCCAGATCTTCGCTATGGTAAATTGTGCTGCTATGAACATAGGAATGCATATATCTTTTCTCTTTGGTGTTTCTGGTTTCTTGGGATATATTCCTAAAAGTGGGATCACTGGGTCAAATGGGACTTCCATTTTTAACTTTTTGAGGAAACTCCATACTGACTTCCATATTGGCTGCACCAGTCTGCATTCCCACCAGCAGTGCACAAGTGTTCCTTTTTCTCCACATCCTCTCCAGCACTTGTTGTTTGTTGATTTGTTGATGATAGCCATTCTGACAGGTGTGAGATGGTACCTCATTGTTGTTTTGATTTGCATCTCTCGGATGATTAGTGACTTTGAGCAAGTTTTCATATGTCTCTTGGCTTTCTGAATGTCCTCTTTTGAAAGTGTCTATTTTAAAGTCCTTTGCCCATTTTTTAAAAAAATATATTTTATTGATTTTTTTACAGAGAGGAGGGGAGAGGTATAGAGAGTTAGAAACATCGATGAGAGAGAAACATCGATCAGCTGCCTCTTGCACGCCCCCTACTGGGTATGTGCCCGCAACCAAGGTACATGCCCTTGACCGGAATCGAACCTGGGACCTTTGAGTCCGCAGGCCGATGCTCTATCTGCTGAGCCAAACCGGTTAGGGCCTTTGCCCATTTTTTGATTGGGTTGTTTATCTTCCTTTTGTTAAGTTGTATGAGTTCCCTATAAATGTTGGAGATTAAACCCTTATCGGTGATAACATTGGCAAATATGTTCTCCCATGTAGTAGGATTTCTTCTTGTTTTGTTGATGGTTTCTTTTGCTGTGCAGAGCTTTTTATTTTTTATTTTATTTTATTTTTTAAATATATTTTTTATTCATTAAGATATTACATATGTGTCCTTATCCCCACGTTGCCCCCTATACCCCCCCGTGCCCCCCCCCCCCCCCCCCCCCCGTTGTACGTGTCCATTGGTTAGGCCTATATGCTTGCATATAAGTCCTTTGGTTGATCTTTCTCCCTTACCCCCACCCTCCCCTACCTTCCCTCCAAGGCACGACAGTCCAATCAATGTCTCTCTGTCTCTGGATCAGTCCTTGTTCATCAGTTTATGTTGTTCATTATATTCCACAAATGAGTGAGATCATGTGGTATTTATCCTTCTCTGACTGGCTTATTTCACTTAGCATAATGCTCTCCAGTTCTATCCATGCTGTGGCAAATGGTAAGAGTTCCTTTTTCTACTTCCTCTTCTTAAAGAATACCTTTCAGCATTTCATATAATGCTGGTTTGGTGGTGATGAACTCCTTTAGCTTTTTCTTATCTGTGAAGCTCTTTATCTGACCTTCTATTCTGAATGATAGCTTTGCTGGATAAAGTAATCTTGGTTGTAGGTTCTTGGTATTCATCACTTTAAATATTTCTTGCCACTCTCTTCTGGCCTGCATGGTTTCTGTTGAGAAATCAGCTGACAGTCGTAAGGGTATTCCCTTGTAGGTAACTGAGTTTCTTTCTCTTGTTGCTTTTAAGATTCTCTCTTTGTCTTTTGCTCTTGGCACTTTAATTATGATGTGTCTTGGTGTGGTCCTCTTTGGGTTCCTTTTGTTTGAGGTTCTCTGTGCTTCCTGGACTTGTAAGTCTATTTCTTTGACTAGGGAGGGGAAGTTTTCTGTCATGATTTCTTCAAATAGGTTTTCAATATCTTGCCCTCTTGCTTCTTCTGGTACCCCTATAATTCTGATGTTGGTACGCTTGAAGTTGTCCCAGAGGCTCCTTACACTATCATCATATTTTTGGAATCTTTTTTCTTTTTTCTTTTTTGGTTAGGTATTTTTTGTTTCTTCGTATTTCAAATCTTTGACTTGATTCTTGGGATCCTCTTGTCTGCTGTTGGATCTCTGTTTATTATTCTTTATTTCAGTCAGTGTATGCTTAATTTCTAGTTGGTCTTTTTTCATATCCTCCACGGTCTCACTAAATTTATTGGCGGTTTCCAGAAAATTCTTGATAAACCTTATAAACGTGGTTTTGAAGTCTATATCCAGTCGTTTGCTTTCCTCCATTTCTGTCATTTGTGATCTGTTTCTTTGTCTCCGCATTTTTTATGCTTCCCTGTGTTGGTAGAGTGGCTTTTTGTGCTAGGTGTCCTGTAGGGCCCAGTGGCTCAGCCTCCCCAGTTACGTGAGGTGTACACTCTTGGTGCACCCCCTTGTGGGCTTTATGCACAGTCTTCTTGTAGTTATGCCTTGATTGTTGTAGGATCACTGGGAGGAATTGACCTCCAGGTCAATTGGCAGTGAGAATCAGCTGTGTCTGCAGTGGGAGCACTTCTGTGCTGAAGACACCCTTCTGGGGCAAGACTTGCTTCAGTGGGTCTTTGGTGCTCACTGAGTCTGCGCCCTGAGTGTGTCCCTTAGGGATCTGAGGAGTTGTAATCGGGATGGTCCCCCTCTGACCACTGGGTACACTGGCTATTGGATCTAAGGAGGTGCTAATTTAGCCTCTGTCTGAGGTTACCCAGCAGGAGCTATGAAGAGAACTGCAGATTCCCCTTCCTTTTTTGGAGTTTGGAGGTGCCCTGATGAGGCCCAGCTGTGAAGCAATGCAAGCTGCTGTGGGGCCTTGGGCCTTCCTTGGAAGTTCTGGGTCTGTCTGACCCAGCTGCAATTTGTTAGGTAATTTTCAGGTTTCAAAGGGCCACGGCCTTCATACGCAAAAGCCTCTGCCGCAGCCTGGGTGGGGCGGGGTCTCAGGGAATCAAAGGGCGGAGCAAGCAGCTATGGCAGATCCTCAGCCCTGCCCTAAGGGGCCCCGAGCCTCAGTGTCCCGGTAATTTAATTGCTGCAAGCACCTCTGAGGGAAAGCCGCACTCAAGTTCAGAGTTCTGCCTGATGCCAGAAAGTCCAGTTTCTCCCCGTATGAGTCCTGGGTCCCCAGAGACTTCCTGGAACCGGAGTTCAGAGCAGTCAGGAGCTTGTGACTCCCTCCTGATTCAAAAAGACAGCCGCGTCCTCAGGTACCAGCCCCTTTCCCCATGCGCTGGAGCCTCCGTACCTTTGCACTTTACTTCCGCAGCTCCTCTGAGTCTCAGTGTGCTTTTCTCTTTTCTTCTAGTTGTAGAATTTACACTCAGCCAACCTCCCTGTAGTTCTGGATGATGTCCGTTTTGTCTTTTCGTTGTATTTTTGAAGTTGTTGTGGGAGGCAGCAATTTCCAGGTGTTTACCTATGCCGCCATCTTAGTTTTTTCCAGAAGCATTTTATTTTATTTATTTTATTTTATTTTATTTTATTTTTATTTTTATTTTGAAAGAGGAAGAGTTTATTTATTTTTTTCATATTTTTTTGTTTGTTTGATTTATTGCTTAAAATACTACATATGTCTCCTTTTTCCCCCACTCTTGACAATCCCCTGGCCTCCCCTACACCCAGTGTCTTATGTCCATTGGTTATGCTTATATGCATGCATATAAGTCCTTCACTTGATCTCTTACCCCCCGCTTTTCCCCCCCTACCCTGCCCGGCCTTCCTGCTGCAGTTTGACTGTCTGTTTGAGGCAGCTCTGCCTCTGTATCTAATATTGCTCATAAGTTTATAATGGTCTTTAGTACTCATGAATGAGTGAGATCATGTGGTATTTTTCCTTCATTGACTGGCTTATTTCACTTAGCATAATGCTCTCCAGTTCCATCCATGCTGTTGCAAATGGTAAGAGTTCCTTCTTTTTTACAGCAGCATGGTATTGCATCATGTAGATGGACCACAGTTTTCTAATCCATTCATCTACTGATGGGCACTTAGGCTGTTTCCAGATCTTAGCTATGGTGAATTGTGCTGCTATGAACATAGGGGTGCATATATCCTTTCTGATTGGTATTTCTGGTTTCTTGGGATATATTCCTAGAAGTGGGATCACTGGGTCAAATGGGAGTTCCATTTCTAGTTTTTTGAGGAAGCTCCATACTGTCTTCCATAGTGGCTGCACCAGTCTGCATTCCCACCAACAGTGCACGAGTGTTCCTTTTTCTCCACATCCTCTCCAGCACTTGTC